GTGCTATTTCAAGAGGTCCAACAGGGATGGTATTTTGAAATACAGACCCACACTGTGTGAAAACCACATGCCTCTTTCTCTTCCTACATACAGGCAGCTCTGATTCTCACAGAATCAAGCACATACATCGTGAGCAGAACAAAGAGACATGATGACACAACAGGATGCAACACAAATATCATTTGCTAAGCAGACTCCTGAAGTCTTCTAGGCAAGCTTCCCTGAGTGAGGAGTGCTGGCTGCCACCAGAACATCACCTGCACTAACAGGAAAAAAGAAAGTTTCATTCTTTCCAGACCTGGAATACTCAGCATTAAGAACTAATTAGACACCCAAAGACAGCCCCAGCAGTAAAATATTCTTGGGGTTTTGTTTTTTTTTTTCTTGTCCACTAGAAGTAACTGTCCTACCAACAGAAAATTCACTTTCCCCTGGCCCCATTCCCACACACACTCCCTACAGCTATTTCCGCCCACGCTACAGCTCTTTTTAACTGTGTTTAAAAAGCTGAGAGAGAGAAATGTGCTGCTGCTGCTGCTGCTGCTAGTGCTCCACCTCCTCAGGTGGGCGGATTGGTAGCTGGTCAGTTTTCTGCAGCATTTCTCATTGCTGGATGCGTGGGAGGCCGAGCGCAGGAAGGGAAGGAAGCAGTCCTCTTAGGAGGGGAGGCATATCAAAGCAAGTGGGAAGCAAATAGCCCCTTCCCACCTGCACATGTGCAATTATATGCAAATGAAAAACTAACACAATAGATCGGCAAGGAGAGCTTTCCAAGATGTGGCCCTAAAAGGTATGAAACAGCTTGGGTCTCAAAGCCAGATTCAGGGGTGACCAGATCTCTGGGAAATTCGCATTTTTCACCCACGAAGAAGAACAGCCATGTGGGAAGAGAAGAGGGAAAGGGGGAGGGAAGCAGGCGTTCCATACAGTTATGGTTTTGTACGTAGGTGGAGGGTGGTTGGAGGGGGGGAGTGACAGATTGCTTGTGGCAGCAGGGAAGAAAGATGTAGGAGGGTGTTTGCTCGGGGTCCTGACTAACCCAGGGGGTACTGGCAGCAGGGTGGATGCAGCGTGAGTGGTTTGTCTATGCCGAGGTGGTGGGAGGGAGGGAGGGGAGGAACCCACTGGTGGATGGACCTTGCCTGGGGCCTCTCTCCTGGCCTCATCCCCACGGCAGCGTCTGCAGCAGCACCCAGCCACCCCCACACTTTCCCCAGCGCCCTCTGAGGCCAAAAGAAAATGGAAATTACTTCACTCGCACCGTTTCATTATGGATTTGCTTTCATCCCTTTCCAAACACTTCTAGTTCCCCACTGATAAGATGCAAATTAACTAGTGAGGGGGGGAAAAAAAAAAAAAAAAAGGGAAAAAAAAAAAAAAGGGAAAAAAAAAAAAAAGGGAAAAAAAAAAAAAAGGGAAAAAAAAAAAAAAGGGAAAAAAAAAAAAAAGGGAAAAAAAAAAAAAAGGGAAAAAAAAAAAAAAGGGAAAAAAAAAAAAAAGGGAAAAAAAAAAAAAAGGGAAAAAAAAAAAAAAGGGAAAAAAAAAAAAAAGGGAAAAAAAAAAAAAAGGGAAAAAAAAAAAAAAGGGAAAAAAAAAAAAAAGGGAAAAAAAAAAAAAAGGGAAAAAAAAAAAAAAGGGAAAAAAAAAAAAAAGGGAAAAAAAAAAAAAAGGGAAAAAAGAAAAAAAGGTTGGTTTTCTTTTACCCTTTCGCACACTTTCTTGTTACAGGAGAAATTCACTACCGCATGCCATTAGCTGTGTCCTCATCCCAGATCCATCAGATGTTATATGGATGCATTATCTGAGAAGTGTCTCACTAAAAGCCCTGGGGAAGGCACTCTGTTCCCATGGGATTGCCCACATTACAGACAAAAACAAAAATTTGCTTCTCCATATTAAATATGTGTTTTCTGTGTTTCAGTTCTTCCCTGTCCTGCCCTATTGTTATAGAGTGGAGAAAGAGATTGATTTTCCACTTATTTTGCGTCTCTTTCTACTCTCACTGACATCAGCGGAAGACTCTCCACTGCAGTACTAGGTGCCCACATTGGGCCAATGAAATTTGCACCTGTGTCACCTGTGGAGGTGTTTAAGAATATTGACAACTGAGACTGGACTCAGAAAAAACAATCTGAGGATTGCTTGTCAGTAGAGTAATAACCAGTTACCAGGAATGAACTGGAAATTTTCCCATTCTATACCTCAAGCCTTCACAGACTAATTTTTCCTTACCTTCATACACCTTCATACACTGATGCACTTACTACCCACACATTGAGGAATTAGCTGCTAGCTGTTAGACCAGCAGAGGAAAACATGAAATTTACAGCAAGCCTGGACACAGGAGCACTGGACATAATGAAGTACTTGTAATATACATTATCTGGTCTTGCTGAACTACACTGGGAGCTTTCAGAGGCAAGTAAGTGAGAGGTAAAAATTAATGATTAATTAAGGGTATATAGATGGAATACAGAACACAGCTGAGCGACTCTTGGAATCCTTGCGAGCAAGAGCTCCCACATTGCAAAGTTATATGTTGTTCTGGAAGAAAATCCAAAAAACCCCAGAAACAAAACCCAAAAAACATCTGCTCAACTCTAAAGTCCTCCTACAGTCTGCAATTTGTTTTCTCTTTCCAAACCTGCTGAACATACTGCCAGGAAATTTCTCCAAGGGGAGGAATTACAACCTGCCTATCCTTCTGGCTATTGTACTTCCCGAGTTCCTGGCTTGGTTACTAGGGATGCTGCTCACCCCTAGTATATCCAGTCTCCTGCAGCCCTCTTTGCTAATAGCAGTATCATCCATAAACTCCAGGGTTAAAGGTCATGTCATTCCGCTTATTCTCATGCAACTCCATTATTTTTACTCTTTTTCCTATTTCTACTTATAGAAGCCTTTCATTTACTTGCTAAAAAACACTTTCACTTTGATATTCCAGTCTGCAGAAAATGGGGCGTGCAGGAGGACTATTAAAAACCAGGATGATTTCTGAATTACTTTTTTGACTGGCTTTTAGTCACTAAATGTCTGGCTGTGAGAAAATTGCAATTTTCTAACACCTACCACCCTCCCTCTCAAACTATAGGTAAATTCAAGCCATCACCACCACGTTTTAAAATGAAGTAGAATGTTAGGCTCAAGGAAGAAGGCTCTACTGTCACCACCCCTTATTCTTGAAACCAACTGAAAAAAAAATAGAGGGAAAGAATTTAAGCATTAGGCAAAAAACTCAGTGTCAGCACAGTGGGAAGAAATCAGTAGCTGTTGCAAGACAATACTTGCTGTTACTTCATTGTTTACAAACAAGCAGGTCCCACTCCTGTTCTAAATCAGACATACAGCTGGAAGACAACAAAGAAAGGGTCTACACCGTAATTGATACAGAAGCTGGGGCGCAAATACATGGAGGAAACAGATTAAAATCAGCCTAAGTAAAAGAGGAATCAGACCATTGACTTCTATTTTGCACTCTAGAAACACACATCCTATGTAATCTGTGTCCTGCTCACAACCTTGCCCATGCACACCATGTGCAGGTGCAATTTATTAAGAGATTTCTAGGGGTTTCAAACAGCCTCCACCTGCTCTTACCCAAGGTTAGCTTCCACACACTGATTTTTTCCTTTGCACAACGCTAACAAAAAGATTACCCTACAGAAAGGTTTTGTTTGTATTTGTCTGTAAAATATATCTAGACTTTCAGACATAGGATATGAAGTACAAAAATGTTATATGCTTATCAAACTCACCGTAATTTGGTTATGCCTGGATGAGACATGCAGAGTAACCTCGTCCTGAAAAATAATTTTAAAAATATAAAGAAAGGTTCTGATTTGGCAACTGTGATAATTTGGTATCATTTAGGCTGGTTTAGATTTAATTGCATGGTACTTGCTGTAAAACAGCATATAGGGCTGTATATACCCAAGATGACACTAACAGGCTGCATTTTTGATGATCATATAATCTGTAGGTAAAATTTCAAATAGTCTGGATTGCCTAATGAATTCTGCAATTAATTAGTTCACAGTAGGCAGTCTCCCACTGCCTGCAGAAGCACCTCATGTCCTGTTCTCAGTTATTTTTTGTTCACAGCGTACAAGACAGAAAATTGAGACTGCATAATACAGAAATGTTCCATGTCTTTTTTTTTTTTTTTGTGCCCATTTAGTTTGATTAAGACTTTTACAACCAAATTTAATATACCCTGAGAGTTACTGCAATGGAAATGCCAATACAGATGACACTGCTGTAAATCATGGGTGAATCGTTTCTTGAAATGAAGAGCAAGGTTGCCCTCTGGGGACTTCTCGAGAAGTGCTTCTGAGATCTGGGATTTTTTTTGTTCCAGCAAAATAATTTTGCTCACAGGCTTTAAGGTTGTTTTATTGTTTTGTTTTTTCTTTAATACATTTTTTATACATTTTAATACATACGTGAATCAAGACAGCCCCTGCAAAGAACTTCCCACATTGAGAGATGATGAACTTCTATTTCTACCCAATGCACTCAGTCGTCATTTACTCTGTGGCTCATCACACTTCCCAGTATGAGTCTCATGCTGGTATGTGGCAGCCTCAAAAAATCTGCTGTCTGACGTAGTTAGTGCAATAAAAGTGAATTTAGTATTATGAACTACTACTATGATGTCTATAAATTCTCAAATGCTTTAATCTTTTGGTGGTTTGTTGTTTTTTTTAAATGGCAGTTTTCCTGGTTGTCATGTCTATTTATGCCAAACATACACTGTGTTTTCAGCTCACAGCTCAGTCCTTAGCTATTGTCGGGGCAGCAACCACGTTAGTTGCTTAATCCCTGTTATTTTTACCTTTTAGGATAACCACTTCTTTTTTGGTGGGATGCTACATTAGAGCAGCTCCTTAATCCTAGCTCACCCATCTGTGTGCTGGCAGCACAGGTGTGGTACAGGGTGTGAAAGGCTGAGGAGAAACGGGGATCTTCAGAAATCAAGGAACCCGTTTTGCTGCTGAAAACAATACCCCACCGAAATGCGGTCCGCGGCCCTGAAGGCCAATTTGGCAACAGGGCTTCTTTCTCCACCGTGGGCGGCAACCACCACCCTGGTTTGTGCTATTGCCACATTAAGGCATCCCTTGCTTCACCCACAAAGAGGAACGGCCTCGACCCTCATGTCCTCACCACTGATCCCGGGCCGGGGAGCAGCCCAAATCCTCTCAAGGTAAGGAAAACCCCTTCGTACAACAACAGAACGAGGGGCTTAGCAGCCTCCTACCTCCGACAGTCCATACGCTGACTGGAAAAGGGCTATTTAAGGGGGAAGCGGGTAGGCCGCCCGGCTCCGGGTCCTCTTCCCGTTCGCCCTCCCGCACGTGAGGGCGAGAGTGCGAACGGGAAGGGGACCCGAAACCGGGCGGGCGTCCACCCGCCCCTCAGAACCACCCGTTTACCACAGAAAGAGCGAGGGTGCCTCTGAGGGGAACGGCACCCGGCTCCCCGCCACCTCCTCCCGCTTCGAAAGCCGCCCCTCAGGCGCATGCGCCATACCCCGCCCTACCCCCTTACCTCATGACGGCGATCGGCCGCGCCGCCTGCCGACATGGCGGCCCGGGTGCTGAGGCCGCTGCCCAGGTAACGGGAAAGCGGCGGTGGCGATGGTGGTGGCGGCCGCCCTGAGGCGCGGAGAAGTTTCTTCCCCCCGCCCCGTCAGGCCTGAGGGGGGTAAAATGGCGGCGGTGCCTCACGGCAGGGAGCGATGGGCCGGGCAGGCCTCTAACGCTGGGGATCGGTAGCTGCCTGAAGCGCTATAAAAATATAATTTAGGCCGAGGTGAGCCCGGCCTGGATTAACTTTCACACAGTAAAACGAGCGTGTGCTTAAAAGCTAGGGTGTTCTGTGCTTTTAAGTAGCTGAAAGATAAAGCAGCTTGTTAACACTGGTGCGAGGCCGGTGTGCGAAACCCAGCAAATGCCCTTCTTAACCGTGTTCCTCAATATAATACAAGGGCAATTAGTACATAACCGCCTCGTTGCTCAAGTAATGTGTTTACAGAGTGTCCCAACGTGGGTATCTGCTGTCAGCAGCAGGAGTATGAGCCACATTCAAGCTGTTTAGCCTAAACCCGACCTAAATGTGACAACACAGGATGGCGTGAGGGCAGGTGTGGTGTGATGGAAGCTTTGGAAATGTGCGAGTTTTTAATAAAATGGTGTTTTAAAAATTTCTACTATTTAAACATCTGGAAAAGGGCTATAAATCTCTAAAAGACATACACGCTGCTAAGCATCAAACATGCCCCCCCAAACTCTTTGTCTTATTATTTCCAGGTTCACCTCCTAACTTGAACACATCAAAAACATTAGTAGTTGGCACTGGTATCTGCTGCCTATTTACTAGTAAGCAAAGAAGTTTCCAACTGTTTTGATATCAAAATTGTACTCTAATTTTACTTGATTTTGAAAAAGAGAATGTAAAACAATTGCGTTCAGAAATTTTTCTGACAAAGCTTTGCTTAACTCATCAATCATATATTTGGGGATTCTGTAGCTGGTTTGTGGTTCCAGCTGTCTTTTTAATATTTCTTTTTCAGGCTGAAGCCATTCAACAGACTGCAAGTAATATTACAACATTTGGTAAGAACAGCGTCTTGTTTAACTGAGTTGGAAGCTTTTAGGACTCTTAACTTCCCTGACACAGACAGCACATGCAGCTCCTAACATGTCTGCTCACAATGGTTATGAATGCCATAATTTATTGCTCAGATATAATGTTGTCCACATCTTTGAACACTTTGTTACAAGTTTCTATTATAGTGTAAATTCAGTCTTAATTATTTTGGCCTTACCTATTTTTACAGTTAGTTTCTATGTTAGCTTCTGTATATTCGTTACGTATCATTCAGCTGCGAGTTTGAAATTGATTGTGAAAATAATTTAGTTATTTGTTCTCCACTGTTAAAAGTTAGTTACAGACAAAGCAATGTGTATGTTTGGTTTTGCAGTGTTCAGCTGCCGGTAGGGACACACGGAGCTCTCATTGTTATAATTGTTGCAGGTATTTTCAAAATGTCAGTCTTAAAGAACCATGGTTTTTGTTTTTTGAGTTTTTTTTAATGAACTCAAATGTCATCGTCAAAGACTGTGGGGCTCAAAAACTTGTCTGAGGTTTATTACTCTGAAGCACTCAAACATGAAGTGGTTTCAAAAGAACTGTTTAGGAAATGCAAATAATTCTTGAAGTACTGTGGGAAAGCCTTAGCATACAATTCTGAAATGCATGATTTAGGATCTTAAATAGTGTGTTTCAAGAATATATTTCCATAAACACTCTTGTAAGTATCTAACTGATTACATTTGCTTTGTTTGTTTTTGCATGTACAGAAGATGTCTAAACATACAGATTCGACAGCTGAAGTGTTGTTGGAAAAGAGAGGAGGTGCAGGAATAATAACTTTGAATAGGCCCAAGGCTCTCAATGCACTAAATCTTTCTATGATCCGACAAATTTATCCACAAATAAAGGTTAGTAGCTCTGCTTCTACCCATCCACTATACATATGTTATCCAAAACCAATTTTAAAATTCAGTCTAACACTTCTTAGTGTACTGATTTGGAGAATGAAAGTCTGCCTGAGCGCATTGGCCAGTGAGCTCAGATTTGTAGGATGGGAAAGAACAGACAGTTTCAAGTAAGTTAGAAAGAGAAGACAAGAGAAACAAGCTGTCAGACAAAGTTGAATTTAGCATCTGGATAGAGAAGAGACACCCATCTTAAAACCAGAAGTGAATTAAGAGCAAGCAGTGTTTATATGTTCCTTTTGGCAACACCCAGCTGGTCAGTCAGCATGCACGAATTCCAGGCTATGCAGTGGTGCTGCCTCTTGGTTGGGTGCATGTTTTGGGGGGAGGCTGCATGGCTGAAATAGAAGATACAAATCACTACGAAGCAAGGTGCTGTGACTGTCATTCCTTAAAGAACTTCTTTATGGTTTTACAGGCACTGTTTCTACAAGCTAGTGATGTAAAATTTTAAGCATGCAAATAGTCATTTAAATGCATGCATTTAAATTTAATGACATTATTTATCATATGCACAAACTTCTTAGATAACAGTATTTTTTGGATAGTTGCTCGCCTTTTGGTATTTTGGTAGGCAGTTGTGTTGCAAATTTATGCATTCTTTGAAGAACATTTACAGAAATACATGTTTGATCTGTAGTAAAGATCAGCTGACTACTGAGCCTTATTTGAAGCACAACCTTGGAAGGTGGCATAATTTTAAGTATTGTTGCCAGTATACAGAAATGTCTTGTCTCTCTTACCTGGGTACATCTACTTGAATAAGGGATATATAAGTGTAATTTAGGGGGGGGCCACCTGTAAAAGGGATCTTTTTCTCAATACAATTGCACCACTGCTGAAGTCTTGCACCATCGTGTTTCATTAAAAAAAAACACAACAAACTGTTAGTCTTTGTACCTAACAAAACATCAAGCATCGACTGGATCAAATAAATTTGTGCACAGATTAGCATTGATTGCAGTCATTTTGACAAAATCTATCAAAAATTCAAAAGCAGTTTTCCTTGCCATGCACCTTAGGTTTACACGACTTTGATGATTTGGCCTGAAACATTGTTATTGCATCTTCCATATTTCTGTCTGCTGTCCCAGTGTTGTGTTTGCATTGAGATTTATATCCAGTGGTGTTTTAGGGAGTGCTGCCTTTCTTCAGAGATTGAGAGCTCCTCATAGACGTTTTTCTGAAATACATGAGGCAGCTCTGCTGATCTCTGATGTCAAGGTTGAATAGGACACAGAAGTGGCAGGAAGACATTTAGCTTTCAAGCTTCAGTTTAAGGCAAACTAGTTTAAGTATGGTTTGATTTGCTTTTTGAAAAAGTAAAATAAGAACTACAGACAGTATACAGAGAGAGCATTTCTTGCACAGAATTTATTCTTATGTGGAAACATTTACTTCTTTTTAGACTTGGGAGAAAGATCCTGAAACTTTTCTAATAATTATAAAGGGAACTGGAGGAAAAGCTTTTTGTGCCGGGGGTGACATCAGAGGTAAGGACTATAGTCACTTAAACATTTGAACTAGTTTGGCCAGTTACTACTTTTTGTTGATTTCCTTTATTTACTTTGAGTCAGGTAAACAGAGGCTTGCTGCATAACAGCGGGAGAGATTGGTTGTGCTGACTTCTTCTGACACCTTGATGTCCAGAAGCTATTGAAGTTACTTGTCCAGAGATAGCTGTCAGGACATTGTATAAAAGAGTAAAAATCGGGTTTTAGTAACTGGTAATAGCAGCAGAAGAGTAGGTTCTTGTCTCTACCTTTTTCTTCCCAGATTTTCATTACTGATGGATTTTGTACAAGAAAGTGGACAGATCCTATTAGGTAGTTCTGTTACTATTGGATAATTTGTGCCTGATGTTTGAGATGGCTAGATACAGAGCTGACAATCGTGATCAATGTATCTGTGATTATTTTGTAACTATTAACTCCAAACCGTGAAAATTAGCAGTTGTTTTAAATTTTAGGTAAACAAGCAGCACGGGTTATTGTTAAATTATGTCCTACTCTAATTAGCTTCTCATTTTTAGTATTCAGAGTCTTCAGTATAATCAGTTTTAAGTGAATGTTCTATAAAGCGATACAAAGTATCACAATCAAGACTACCAGGCATTAAGAGGGGTTGCACACCATGGAAAGTGACCTGCATTCTTACAATTATGCAACAGAGTCTCCAGCATAATAGAATTGACTCAAATTTGAGACTTTATGTTCATATTTAAGTTTGAGCAAATTTTCTCAAATAAAATAAGGCAGGATTAAGTTGCTGTTTCATTGCTGTAGGAGAAAAACTTACCATGATATTATTTTTTTTTTTACTTGTATTTTCTGTTAAACTTATAGTTACCTTTAAAATTTTTATTTCTCTTAAGCCATCACAGATGCAGGGAAAGTTGGAGATCGACTGGCACAAGATTTCTTCAGAGAAGAATATATGCTGAACAATGCAATTGGTATGTTTAATAGCAAGTTCTGAAGCAGTACAATTTTCATAATAGTGGCTTTGAGTGCAAATGTACTTTCTCTCTTTGCTAATCTATAATGTAATAGTAGTAGTATTATTTTCTTTTACCACGTTCAATACCAGTAGTGTAGCATATCTCATTTTTTATAACTTGCATGCAGAATTTGTTTCTTTTGTTGAAGCTATTATGATAGATACCTTATCCCATCCCATTGTTCTGGGTAGTTATATTTCTGCTGTGGTTGTCTTAGATGTCGGCAGCGTGGTTCTGCACTAAATATCATTGATCTACTTCAAAGAAGACCCAAGATAAAAATAGATGCATGGAAAATCATTAATATTCGGTCAGAAAGTAGAAGATCAAATTATGTTAAAGGTTTCTATTTAAATAAACTGCATAAACGAATACTCCATCTAGGATTTAACTGCCTTAGTTCACTGCCAAGAACCTAGAAGTTTGTGGTCTTAAAATAACTAACAGCAAAAGCACTGGGTAAGGTTTGCTGGGGTAAAGGATATTAATTCTTTAGGGTAAAAGTCAACAGTTCAATGTTTGGCGAGCAGAAACTTCTCCAAACATACTTTAATTGAATACAGTTTGAGTTTTTAAACATTGTATCCAGTGTTAGTCATTACAGGAGGAGAGCTGAACATGTTGCATATCAATTTAGGTTGACAGAAGAGCATAGAGTTATTAGAGTAATTTCTGAAAAGTTGTTTTTACTTCATTTGACAGATTTTCCAGTTTTAGCATGCTTATCATATACCTTCCTTGCCTTCATCAAGAAAAATATTTTAAGTTTCACTTACTTGGGGAAAAAAAAGTATTACCATGGCAGTTGGACTACATGGTAGTTGTAGGTCTCTTCTAACTAGCCTATCCAAATATTGCAAGGGCACATACTTTAAAAGTTTGGGTTTGGTTTTTTTTTGTTTTTTTTTTTTTAAATTAGGGTGTTCTGTGTCTATGATGCAAATAATTATGAAACCTAGATTTTTGATAACTTTGGTATGAGTGTATTCCTTTAAGACTGAGATTTCTGCCAAAAAGATTTATTTACATCTTGCATTTTACAACTTAAAAATATACAGGGAAGCTGCTTTCACAGCATTTGCTATTGGAGAAGCATGCTGCTATAGAATTTAGTCAAAGACTAGCATGTAGAGCCCCAAGCATTAGCCTGTACGTTCATGTAAGAACAATGTTAAAAATGCAATTTTGTTATATTTTCTAACTACTAATTTGAAGGACTGAGCTGCCTCTTAAAATCGTACTCTTTCTAAACAAGGATCTGTAGTTGCTGCAGAAAAGCTAAGCAATGTGGGTGCAGTGGATGCCCATAGCAGCAATCTGACTGCACTTTAAGTCTGACCTGAAAACACTGAATATGAGGCAGCAGTTTCATTCACAGTGAACTTCTGAATCTTCCCATGAATGGTAATTGAAAGCATCAGGTCTTTAGTTTTATGCCTCCTCAAGGCCCAACAGATACAGCTGATAGATAAAACCGTGGTACTTTAGGATATTATCATCTCAACCTGTCTGTGCCATGTTCAGGGTCATAACATGCAACAGAGTTGGCAAGACAGAACATGTTTGCATTGCAGCAGTTTATAGTCACATTTTGGCTGAAAACTACCAATGCATCTGTCTTTGTAGCTGAGCACTGGAGTGCCGGTGCACGCTCGGTGCTGTTAATGCAGGCTGTGGGATGGGCTGAAAGAGAGACTGTTGTGTCCCATCTTCCTACAAAGCTACGGCTTTGTGGCTGTGGCTAAATTATCAGGTACTCACACAGCAAACAAACTAACATTTGACAGCTGTGTGGTGTTCTCTTACAACACTCAGTTGAATGCAGTAAGTCAGTAACTGGTGTTTCTTTTCATTGCTTAAGAATTACATAAAGTACTTTCATTATAAGCTGATATTTTACTGTTTAATTTACCATTTATTTTCTGTTGCTTAAGTAAGACATGGGGAAATGTGTCATGTATACAGTTATTCACAGGTCCACTCTTTTGAAAAAATGCACAATTATTATTTTTTTTTTTCCCCCCACATTTCTTACAGGCACTTGCAAGAAGCCGTATGTGGCACTTATTGATGGTATTACAATGGGAGGGGTAAGTTAAGTACCTTGGTGTGATATCTGATATAGTTCATTTTAAAGTAATGTAATATTCTGTACTTGGGTTGAATAAAGTGCACACATGACATCTCAAACATTTCAATTCAAGAACAAGCGTTGTAATCTGAACCTCTGTCTCTTGCCTAACTTAGCAGAACAAGCAGGTAGGTCTCAAGGTCCAGACTACTTTAAACTACTATTTTAAACTCATAGTTTGTTTGGGTTTTTTTGGTTGTTTGGGGTTTTTTTGGGTTTGGGTTTGTTTTTTTTCCCCAATCATTGAGTGCTATTTAATTTGCAATTGTTTATACAGCCGTAGTTTACTCTGAAATAATGTCCTTCCTACAGGAGTACATGTTTTCATCAACATACTTCCATCCTCTCCCCCCTCCACCACCATTGTCAATACATGGAAGTATCCACTAATAATTTAATAATGGAGGTCAGCAGTAGTATTTCTCAACACTGATTAATTTTTGTGTAAGTGTTTTGTGTAGTCTTCTATGCTTTCCCTTTCAGCCACTTCCCTCATCTGTAAGATTTGGTTTGATTCCTCTAAATGGACCAATGCTTACCCAGGAAGAGAGTATTAGCTCCCATCTTTCCTCCACCCTCTTCTCTCACCATTTTCGGCACTAGGAGCCCCATCACAACTGACCTTAACTAAACTTAAGACTTGCAGCAGCTGTTTTCTCTTGTGGTACAAGTAGGTTCACTGCAGTGGGATTTTATAGATTAAAACCTCTACAACAGTCCTTGAACTTGTCATGGCCATACTGTGATCTCGCTCAGCTTGCTGTACAAAGTACTCTGTCCTATTATAATTACTCACTAGAACTACATTTGTATGGAGGAGTTATTCAACTGATCGTATAATTAGATGCTTAGTTTTAAATCACTCCAATGCTAGGTTCTGTGTTTTTGACACAATCAAGTCATATTTCATCTGTTTCATATGCTCAAGATCTGGCTACCTTAGTTGCTACATGTCAGTGGAATCTAGAAACATTTGTCACTTACAAAATACAGTAAATGCCTTTAAAAATTTTTCAATTCAAGCCCTTGGCTTTAGAAGCAAGTGGTTTTAGCTTGAGCTTAAAAATCGTGGGACACCTCTTAAGCACTGCAATTTCGCTATAAACCATTTATCTATGAATGAAAATGCAAGCAAGTCAAGCTCAACCTTGCTCAAAAAAGCAGCACTATTCACTTGGAGTGCTCTCTTGTTCTAATTTAAAATAAATTTAAAATCACTTAAGTGTATTAGAAACCCAGTTATTATGTGCTTAGGTAGTAAAATTTGCTACTGATGCACAGATATCATAGTTTCCTGTTGGTAAAACTTGGAATTGTATCCAAAACCTGAACTGTTTCCACTTCAGCATTGTTGGCTAGAGGCTGGTAGATGGCTTTTTTGGAGCATAATTAGCCAACAGATGGGGCTGTGGAGCTTGTTTTCTGCATCTTCTTGTCTCTACTGTAGTTAATCAAAAATTTATATTCAGTATAAATGTATCTTTTCATCTTTTTTTACTTATTCAGAGCAGTAAGTATGTTTGATGAAGCAATGACTGCATATTACTAAAAGTAGTGAAACAAGTTATAAATACCACATTTACTGCTAAATGGCATATACTCTTGAAGGGAACATTGGACATGTACTCTCATGTTACTAAAAACTACTATTCAGATTATTTTAGTTGACTTCTATCCATAGATTTTTATTTTCTTGAGATGAAATACCTGAACAGTAGACAAGAAATGCAGAGTATTTAGATTTTTTATTTTTAATATTACTGTCTGTAAATGAGGTCATATGTTTGGGCTTCTTGGTTCTAGAGAAGTCCCAATCTTTTCCTGAGTTCTTTGGAGATGAACAGAAGTCTGCTTTATAAGCTTAGTTTAAATCTATGGTTTTAAATAGGGCTTTGGCACAAAATAGGTTATGGTGGTAGATACTCTAACAGGCTAAAAGGATTAATATTAAAATAAAAATGTATTTTAAACTGGTTTTAGAGCCAAATAGATACACTAGACAGTTTTGAGTGGTAGCATTTTGGATGATTTGTCTTAGAATTCAAGATGAGTATCTGACAGGAAAAAAAAGGTGGGGGTAAGGAAATACAGGGCATACACTGGAAGTTAATGAATATGGTCCACATCACTGGACTAACTTTATGTAAAGCATACTTAAAACTTCCGTGGCATATTGCCAAAGCAGATGTACATCATTTTCTGGAGGAAAAGCCACTGTTTTTGGTTAAGGGAGGAATCTGCGACTGTGTTTACAAAGTACCGTCTTCCTTAAAGGAATATTCTAGAGTATGCATGATTTAGAAACTTCCTGAGCGAGGCTTTATTTTGCAACCACGGTCCTAAATAGCCATCAGCAATCACAGTCACCTCTCTATTCATTTACATCTTATATGGAGTATCTTTAAGGTGACTATTACAGAGTAGAATTTTTCAAAGAACTCTTTGAGTTCGTTAGTCACTTGGGTAGTAATGTCAAATATATTAAGCTTTAGACTATACAGAAGTGTAGAGCCGAGAGGAGTCTTGGGATTACTCTTTTGCACTCAAAGCAGGGTTAAAAATAGTTAGACAATTGCAGATTTTCACCTGATGCATTCAGAACTCTCTGACAGCAGGAATTTTATTTTTTCCTAGATTTTCCACTTTAGCGCTTAGTTATTCTTTCAAGTTAAGATTCCCTAGTGTCTAATTTTTCTTTAGTATGTGTAATCAATATATTCCTGTCTTAGTCACAGCTCTCTAAGAACATTTTGAGATACTTGCATACCTTGCTTCTAGCTATCTCTCTTTAATAGGGATAAGGATAGCAATTCAGCCTTTACTATAGATTAAGTCTCTTGGTCTTCTTGCAGTCCTCTGGAATATCTCAAATTTGTGTACTTTACAGTTCATTACCAGAGACCAGACAATATTTCAACTGGAGGATTCATCAACACCAAGTAGAGCAGAATAATTACCCTCCATACATCACAGAGATACTCTGTCACAAATAGTCCACATAAATAGCACCTTCTCAAAGCATCAGGTGCTAGGGGGTCACCACTTCTGGTTATTCTTAAAGCCATTATTCTCCCCTTCTTGCAGAACATAAACTTCCATCCCAGTGCACGTCTTTGTCACTTACCTTTTACCAATTTTTAAATCTTCTTCCTTGGACAGAACTGGTGTGTCAGTCAGCCTCATGGAGCTATCCTTTTCCTCAAAAACTACAAAGGAAAAAAAATGGTATTCATTTTCTCCTTCAGGAAACCCAAGTGCCATATTGGCTGGCATTGCCTTTTATAGCTCACAGCATCAATCTGATTAGGCTTCCCAGGTGGATTGAATCTAGGCTGAGTGGGTACACTTTGGCCTTTTGGTGCCTGCTGGTAGAGACTTGGCTATAGCAGGATACCTTAATACTTTTTACAACACTTCTGCAATACTTCTTGCAACAGCATTGCCTTATTATTTGTATTAAGTTCATAGTTGCTATAAACCCCTGAAAAATGTCTAGGTGCTTGTTCCATGGAAAATGCAGTTGTAATCTCTGCATAGACTAGAAATGTCATATCTAGCAAACACTTTCCAACAGCTAAATTAATATGTTTTCTTGAACAGTGTTGTTAGAGGCTTGCTACAGGTACCATGGGGATTCTGTCAATATAGTTACAAATGTCGAAACTTACACTTTATCAGGACTTGGTCAACAGTTCTTATTACATTAATATTTCTTATCAAGTAAATCGGTAGTGATGTCATAAGCAGTTTGTGTGTTACACATTTTAGTCAATAGAATTCCAGTACACAGGAACTCCAGGAGCTGGAGTTGAGCAATAGCTGTTATCTTGTGCCATTTTTATCCAGATTGTGTGGCTGTAACCCTTTAGGAGTGTAAAATTTCTGGCATACATCTGCAAATAACATTTTTCCCTTGCTTCTTCCAAAATGGAATCCCTTGGTTTTTTGATTGCCTGATGTTCTGTAGTCAGGACCAAAGCAGCGTAAGGAAAAACATACCTTTGTTATTGCTGCAGATAAAAAACAAATAAAATTCCTTATTCCCAGGCTTCCTGAGTTAGCCTCTGAGTTACAGCTGGCTGGACTGCAGCAGTAGGTAGGGAGGAAGGAAAAGGGGGGAACATCACAAAGATCCAGTGGCCCACAGTCTGAATCTGCCCACTCCCAAAACCATTCCCAGTGATGTAAAAGTAGGAGAGAAGGGTCTGCCTTTGCTCTCTGTGCCGTTTGTGGGTATGGATGTCTACGCAGTCTTTCCTTCTGAGCCAGTTGTGTGGTGTTGCTGTCTATCTTTTCTTGCAGACTAGTGAAACAAAATCATTGCAAACATTACACCTGATGTTTGCCTGTTCTTTTCCGTAAAAAATACTTAAATAAACATTGCGAGCCTGTATCTAAAACCAAAGTTAATATCTTGTATATCACTGAATATTGGCATTTCAATATGTTTAGCTGAAGTGACTGAAGACTGAAAGAGGAGGGTGGGAAGTGTAAAGACAACAGACTGCTTTACTTCATCATGATCTCACTTGAACTATGAGCTATTAATAAAGAATCTGCAGAAAAAAAAAAGCCAGACAAATATGATGCAATAATTGCAGCTGCTACATAAATGTTTAACTTTGTTAGGTGTCTTCTGATGTTCCTCAGGCATATAAAATACAATGGGAGGAGCTCCCCTTTCCCCCCCACATTATAATATATCTTCCCATCTGGTTTTTTATTTATTTATTTATTTGCTTTTAGGATGTATTCATATAAGTTGTGTGCATATAGTTTTTTTACAGAAGTGTAGATAGCAGCATTTGAGACTAGCATTCAAAATCTAGGAAACATTCGAATTAACCGTATCTAAAATCTCATATTTTTTGCCCACTCGTGACATAATTTTTATTTAGAGGAGTGGGTATTCATGAGGTACACAGGTGGATATTGCTCATAGAACAAATAGGTATTCAT